GGATATAGCTCGCTAGCAGCCTCGCACCGAGGACCTATCCACGTCATCATTTACCCAGAATGCTTTGTGTGCAAATAAAATGGCTCCGTCCGTGTTAAAATATATTTTTAAAGTTTTAGTTTAAAAATGATAAAAACTAGACATCCTACAGTATTTTTACAGTCTTTATTTTACAGTTAAAATATATGTTTATTAAATAAAGTCTAATGTTACAACTAATCGGGGAGCCCTTTTAAACCTGTGCTGCTCATTCAGATGTGTGATACAATGTAAGAAAATTTAACTCCTGCCCAGTGTGTGTCCTTTTCAAAGCAAAACGAAGCATGAAGCAACGCGTGACCGCTTCTGTTATTTGTTTTCAGAGACAAGAAATGACGGCCAGCACAGAAACGCTGGACGCAATCACAGACGCGATGCCCCAGGCCTTACCGTACCACTCCAACACCAACACCCTGCGCTCCTCCGACTCCCCCAAGAGAGACGCCACCGAGTTGTACCTCAAGTCAAAAGCCCTCCTGGAGAGCAGACGTACGTGTTCACCATTCCTTCTAATAAGCTGTTTTTGTGTTGCGCTCCCTGAAAACCTCGCTCTTACATTAAAACACAACAACGATAAAAGTGTTTCTACCCACAGAGCCTTACACCAAAGACATAGATGTTTTTCTGAAGAGAGACATTGAAACAGGCTTTGGGTTTCGTGTTTTGGGCGGAGAAGGTCCCCAGCAGCCAGTAAGTGTTTATTAATAAAATAAGAGTTATTTTATCACTGCAATTATTTCTGTACTCCACTCCTGTGTTGTTAATCCTGTATCAGAATGTATTTCCCCAGGTTTACATCGGGGCCATCGTGCCCAGCGGAGCTGCAGAGAAGGACGGTCGTCTCAGAGCGGGAGATGAGCTTATCGGCATTGACGGAGTCATGGTCAAAGGTCGCTCTCACAAGCAGGTCTTGGACCTGATGACCAATGCTGCCCGCAACGGTCAAGTTATGCTGACTGTTCGTCGGAAGGTCATCTACAGAGGTGAGAAACGGGGCAAACCACACCTGGCACCAGATTACAGTGTGTGTTTTTGGGGGTTTTTTTAGATAAAACTTTAAAGTTCCTGTGACGCACATTCTTCAAATACAAAAAGTCAAAGAAAACAACTTTATACTTAAAAAAAAGTTGGAATAATACATACGATTTAACCCATTTTGTCCCATAACTGGCAGATTTTCTTTTCAACTTGGCTCAGGTAAAGTGAAACAGGAAGTGACATCAAAGGGGAACTCTTTAACAAAGAAAACTCTCTGACTCTTCTTCATCTCTCTAATAGTGACTCAAAATAATCTTAATAAACATCAGATTCTTCTCTACAGTCTGGGTTTTTAGCTGTTGCAGCAGCGTTCTGTTCACATGCAGACTTTCCCCTTTGACATCACTTCCTGTTAATTCACAGGCAAATATCTCAACAACTGTTCATCTCAGCGACATGAAATTTCTTTTGCAATATTTTATCAATGTCCTCTTTCTAAAAATGCATTCATATGTACTGCGTTACAAAAAAAAGTGACGTCACGGGCACTTTAAGTGTTCTTTCTGGAGAAAATGATCCAGTGTTTTTGTGCTCAAAACTTAAACCTAAGCTGTGTAAAATCCTGAGAATGTATTCTGCTAATGGTCTTTCATGCAGTTTAACAGGAATGGGGTAATTTAATCTAAGTTATGGCATATTTGTGTAGTTCGCTCTCTGCCATTATTACCACTTTGTTCCAGCAGTTCACAGTTCCTTACTTAGATGTTTGTCTGCATAAAATCCACTCAGTTTGTTCAAATACAAATATTATTACAAAAGTTGCAAATACATTGCCTTCTGTCACATCAGATGCAACTGATGAAGATTCTAAAGAAATGGCTCCTGTGCTGGTGAACGGTTCTCCCAAACTACCTCACCTGCCGATGCCCAGTGCACTGGACCACGAGTCTTTTGACATCACGCTCCACCGCAGGGAGAATGAGGGCTTCGGCTTTGTTATCCTCACATCCAAGAGCAAACCACCGTACGGCGGTGAGAGTCAAATCTTTATCCGTTTCTAAAATGCTCTTATTGGTAATTCAAGCTGAATCCTAATGCCTCATTAGTCTTCTTATCCGCCGTTCCAGTTATCCCTCACAAAATTGGCCGGATCATTGAAGGCAGTCCCACTGACCGCTGCGGCCTGCTCCACGTTGGAGATCGTATCTCAGCAGTCAACGGCCGCTCCATCATTGAGCTCTCTCACAATGACATTGTTCAGCTTATCAAGGAAGCCGGCACTGTCGTCACCCTGACTGTGGTTCCTGAGGACGGTGAGTTTAAACACACCAGCGCCTTTGTTTCTGCAGTTACTGGATCCTGTAATCAGTTCAGGCTGAATCAGTTTCTAAACCTAACAGTCTTTAATTTTTAATTTGTTGCTGCAAAAAGATTTAAGTTTTTTTTTCAGTAATTCTTTTGTTTAGGTGTTGATCTGTGTGAATTCTTACACTATTTTTAGAATACAAGGGCCCTCCATCTGGAGCAAGTTCAGCTAAACAGAGTCCAGCTCTTCAACACAGAGCTCTGGGGCAAAGGTCAGCTCTTCAAGATGAACGGTGAGCATCTGAAAGAAAAAAATTCACTTCTGGTTCATATTGGTTGATATAAACTCAATATTTACTGAACATGCACCGTATGTCACAAGGTTTTATCGCAAGATGCTTTTTATTCATTATATTTATACATATTAGGGGTGCAACGATACAGAAAATTCATGATTCGGTTCGGTTCGATACTTTAGTCTCATAGTTTGATATTTTTTCGATACAAAAAAGAGAAATGTCCATGCCCCTTTTAACTTGTAATTCATTTAAATTAACTATGAACATTTGTTTAACCTCAAAAGTACAGTTTTTAAATTAAATGTTGCTGAAAACAGCAAGTTTCCCAGTGGATCTGTGCTCAACAACACGGCTAGGTGGAGTAGTCGAACACAGATCCACTGATCCTTCAACACAGAGCATCTTCAGAAGACAAGTTGATATAATAAATTTAAAAAAAAATCTGTACTGTTCTATACAAGTGTGTATTGATCGGTTCAATACAGATACATGTATTGTTGCACCCCTAATATATATATATATATATATATATATATAGCTTGCCCCGTTCTGTTTTGTTGTTTTTTTCCATATGAGCAGTTCCACCTCATGTCAAGCATATATATCCATTAATATGAGTAGTACACACAGCAAAATAGCTGCTATTATTTGGAATTAAAATAATTAACTTATAATGCACTTATCTTTCRCATGATAAGTTTACCACAAATATTGCTAAATAACTCCATCTGTTTGTTGTTGCAGTTATAACCTGGACCTGGAGGAGAAAAGGGAAGCAGCAAACTGGTCCGACCAAAAGACTCTTCCTCTTGGTGAGCCGGGAACGTTGTGTGTAACAGGACCCAACCAGGTAGGAATAATCCTCTCATCTCTCTGTTTGCTCTTGTCTCCCATTTAAATTTTACTAATGGCAATGTAAAACATTAAACAGCAATTTATACGACTGCATGCAAACAAAAAGAGCAGATTAATGTTTTGCATAAAGCTCACTGTGTTCTCATGAATATTGCTGTAATAAAAGCTTGTTGCCTTCGTTGCAATTTCTTAAAACTTTCAGGTCACTCATGCAAAAACGTTTAAGAACATTTCAAACCCAAAGAGAATTTAATGAGGCTCCGAAGAGCTTCGGGCAATTTTAGCGTCTATGAAGAAAATAGAGGGAAAGCAACAAACAACAGTGTGCTGATTTTACATTAAAAATGTATTTCAATTGGAAATGATTCACTGTAAACATAATAAAGCTCTACAGACAAAAAGTAATTGCTTTTGTAAAYTTGTACAGGTTTTCTTTGTTGTCATGAACTCATAAATAGGATTGTTTTGGCAGCATATGTTAATCTTTTAATCTCTTCTTTTAATCATTTCTGTGAAGCGCATTTTCCTTTTACGTGGCAAAACAACTGAACCCACTTTGACGTAAAAAGTAAAACAGCATTCTTRGGACTTAGCACTGGCACAATAAAAAATGAAATTCAACTAAACTGTTTATATGAAGCACCTTCTGAGCATACTGTATATAGGCATACATCAAGGTGCTTTGTTGCAAAATGCAAAAAGACAAATTAAATATAAACTATGGAAAATAAAGAGAAGAAAAGTTTGTTCATGCAACCATTCAATTTTATTAAAGTAGGCAATAAAAGCCGGAGAATGAAAGCAATAATAAAAAAATGAAAASAAATGAGAGTGAAGGTCACGTTCAAACAAGGGAAGAGCTGCTGCTGCAGGTAAACACAAAGCTGTCAACAGGAACCGAGTTTTAAAACTATTCCTTTAATAAAGTCACTTAAATGACTCAATCTTTTAATTTTTTTTGGATAACCCAAAATATGTTCATACAGTGTTTGGAAAGTTAAAAAAAAGAAATAGGCACAATTAAATATCACTGCAACATTAGGCATAAAAGCAAAATTTAAAGGGGCAAAATTATGTGTTTCTCAGGCATACATTTAAATACTATACCATAATAAAGTATCTATGTCACCTTTAAAATGGTAAATGGTAAATGGTACTGAACTTATAGAGCGCTTTTCAAGGCCCTCCGGACCCCCAAAGCGCTTTACACTAACAGACATTCACCCATTCACACTCACATTCACACACTGATGATGGCAAACTACACTGTAGCCACAGCTGCTCTGGGGCACACTGACAGAGGTGGGGCTGCCATGCATCGGCGCCACCAGACCCTCTGACCACCATCAGTAGGCGCAAGATGGGTGAAGTGTCTTGCCCAAAGACACAACGACTGAGACGGCTGGACGGGAGATCGAACCAGTGACCTTCTGGTTCCAGGACGACTCCCTTAACCACTCCGCCACAGCCACCCGATAGATGTTATTAAAATGCTGTTTTATGTTTAAATAGAAAATAAACTTTTCTTCTCCCCACTTCCTCTTCTAAATGCCTTGAAATTTGGCCTCTGTCTCTTTAAGAACCATCTTCCGCTTCTGTCTCGCCCATTTCAGTGTGTGTGTGTGGGGGGAGGGGGGGTGGCTACCATGATGCAGTTCACTTTGCATCTGAAAATGCATTTCCTCAAAAGGTATTTTGAACCTGAAAAGAGCTTCACTGAGTGAGAAGTAGTGGAGCTCAGCGGACAGTTTAAGTTTCACTTTCACCCGAGAGCCTGCAGGAGTCGTGGGTGGGGTGTGTGGGGAGGGGGGGCGCTCCGCCATGAGGAAGTTCAGCTTAAAGGCACGTCCCAGAGGCGTTCCTGGTACCAAAAGGTGATTTTGGTCCCCACCTGTCGTTTTGCTCCACAGCATGGCTTCCTAAAAACACTGCAGGATTTCTCAAACATGCAATGAATGAGTCAAAGCAAGGCTTTGGGCATGTTTTTTATGAGAGTATAACATTATAACATGATATAAAACTCAAAAAAGTTGATTTTACATGATAATGCCCCTTTAAAGAATGACAAGGCTCATCTTCAACCCAACCAACTGGTCAAACCAACCCAACAACTGAGTTCTCAAAATAACCCAGCAGTTCATAGTGTGTATGTACCATACATGTGTGCTTTAACCTATTTCAGTGTGTGTTAAATATGCTTTTCTTTGTGTAGGGCTGCCTTACGGTGGAGTTGGAGAGAGGTCCCATGGGTTTTGGTTTTAGTTTGCGGGGCGGCACCGAGTACAACATGGGTCTGTATATTCTGAGACTCGCTGAAAATGGAGCTGCTCAGCTGGATGGAAGAATCCACGTGAGTGCCTTTACTTACTACTATGGTTGAGAAAAATAATGTCCTTGTAAATTTCACTATATTTATCCACATGCAAGTATTTTGCTGTGACTCCTCATCACGCTCAGTCAGCCTCTAGAGGGCGTACTTGTATCAGGTAGAGAAAACTACACACMGATTTTTGTCTTCTTGAAAATTATAAAGGTTTTATTATAACTATAGCAGTATGATCATGTGGTCCAAAAATATATTTCATACATTTTTGATGAGGAAAATAATTTACAGAAAGTTGACGCAAAATCTGCTTTCTCTGTAGTTCATCACAGTTTAATTTCCCCTGTAGGAATTTTATCATCTTATCAATGTTAGGATGAGAAGGAAGACTCTGCAGTGAACAAAATAGAAGCTTCTTGTGTGAATCAGTCCTGCCGACTTTGATCTCTGGGTATAACTTTGCCTATCCGAGATGATGATGGGGAATGTCAGCACTGATTAGAGCTTAACCGTCTGACATGTTTACAGGCTCGATCCTGGCTTATTGTGTGAAACAGAGGGCCCTGGCATGCTATGAAGCTGTATCTATGAGCATAATAAAATCTAGATTATTCTGATAATGAGTTTTTGTATGTTTCTGCACACACTCACTCCAGACTGTGTTCATTTGTGTGCTTCTGTGTTCCTCATTACTGACAGRTTGGAGATGAGATAGTGGAGATAAATGGCGAGCCAGCTCGTGGAATTTCCCACACACGAGCGATTGAAGTGATCCAAGCTGGAGGAAACAAAGTGGTTCTGCTGCTGAGACCCGGAGCAGGTCTGGCCCAAGATGGGAGTGAGTAATACATGCAGAAATGTTTCAGTTGGACCAGCTTTGTATATTGGAAATATATCTCGCTTTTGAAGCTTGTGGACCAAATTGTGCAGTTTAGAAAAGTAGCCTTACTCAGTGGGTTTTGTGTAATTACTAATACTTCTTAAACTTTCCTGCTTAATATTTAACGCTTTGGGTTGTTCTGCTTTTTATTAAACAACTTGGCTCTTTTTTGTTTGTTCATCTTTGGTTGCACAGCAGTTTAGTTGCAACTATTGTTTCTAATAGCGTTGGTCAGGGATGACATCAGGAGAACTTCCGGGAATCCCCAAAATCCCAGAAGTCAGACAAAGTTGGCAGCGGCCCGCGTACATCATGTCTGAATCCAAAGCCTTTTTTTTTCATAAAAATGTAAACAAAGATGACGTACCAGGCGCCAAAATTGAGTGTGATTGTATAAAGCAGAGGTGCCCAAATTGGCCCGCCAAGCCATTTGATTTGGCCCACCAGCAGTTGTCCTGGTTATTAGATTGTAATCTCCTGTCCCATGTAGAAACACTATATTTCCACTTTTCAGCCATTGGTCAAACTATAGAGCTGAGAGTCTTAACTCATGGTACTCTATCTTTGAATAATGTTAAGATTAAACATAAAATACAAGTATCAACAAGAGACATTTAGATTAGATTTAAGCACATCTAGATTTGCACACCTTATAAGCAGAGTTGTAAAGTAACTAAGTACAAATACTTCTTTATTATACTTAAGTAGAATTTTTGTGTATCTGTATTTTACTTGAGTAATTATTTTTCAGCCTACTTTTTACTTCTACTTCTTACATTTTTACACAATTATCTGTACTTTCTACTCCTTACATTTAAAAAATGGGCAAGAAGTAGAAAGTCGTTACTTTTATTTCATTTTTGCTTGTTTTCATTCCAGCTTGTTATTGTAAAAAATAAATACTATCCATATAAGCTGTGCCTCCTAGATAGGGAATTTAATGTTTGGGCACCCCTGGTAAAGAGGGATGCGGCAACACAACTAACTAAAGCGTTGGCTACAATGTAGAACTGGCAATGTAGCAACCGTGTTGCATTGATAAAAAGGTAAGTGTTTTGTTCCTGCATTGTTATCCAGCGTTCGCTGTTAGCAAGCTAGGTAGTGTGCCCAGGAAAACTTTGTGAATTAGTATTAATATTTAAATAACTGCATGACCAGGAACAGAAGTAAGCATAAAACAGACACATTTACGAGGGCAGTTTGAAAAGAAAGAGAAAAACRTTCAGTGCTCCGGTTACTTTAACACGAAAGAATAACTAAAACAGGAAAAAAATGGATGGACAAAACTGTTCAGGGACTACAGATGCTGGTATGGGGTCAGGGTGCGCCTTTGTTGGTCCATTTTATCCAACAAAGTGTTTAGAACAGGTGCAGGTACTCCTTACATTTTTCCGGTCGAAGGCAACTTGGCCACAGAGTYGAATCCAACAATCACGTTTCTCTCCCTGAGTAATTGGCTTATAAAACAGCAACAAAAAATAAATAAATAAAAAAAGGAAAAGCCTTTCATATAAGGCTTGTCAGTATGTCGGGTGTCACTGCTGCAAACCACGACTTCAGCACTGGACTCAATTGTAGCTGCAATTGGTCTTGACTGACATCCAGGGACTTACTGACGTCACATATTGCGTAGGGAGCTATTTTTAGCAACTCTGACCAACACTATTAGAAGTAACTTTTCAGGAAGTGTGTATTAAACCTAAAAAACGAAAGCACTAATGATAAAAATGGGTGTTAGACATTTTGAGGAGTCACAGATTGAATACATATCATTGAACCATGCACTGTTTTGCTGCGTTGTGTTGAAAACTTGTGCTTTAGCATCCCTAGACTTCCTGTCAAACAAATTGACTCACACAAAAGGGATGCAATAAATCTTCAGGAGGAAACAGAGCACTCAGATACATGCTTAAAGGGGCAATATCGTGTAAAATCAACTTTTTTTTAGTTTTATATCGTGTTATAATGTTATACTCTCATAAAAAAACATGCCCAAAGCCTTGCTTTGACTCATTCATGCATGTTTGAGAAATCCTGCAGCGACTTTAGGCAGCCATGCTGAGGAGCAAAACGACAGGTGGGGACCAGAAACTCCTCTGGGTTTGTGTCCTTTTGTAGCCWGGTTTAAACCAGACCCTGTCCTTCACTTTGCTTCGTACAAGGGTCTGGACTTGATGCATAGAGAAGTGATTCTTGCTGGAGACGTGGCCTCTGCTGAAGTTTAAAAKGAYTGGATCAGTTGGCTGCGACGTATGTCGCTGTGATGGAGGCTAAGCTAAGAAGCTAACCAGAAATCACGTGTGCTGTAAACAACTCTACTGAGAGGAGAGAAGTACCGAGCCGAACGAGACGACTGTAAATGAGAGCTGCTGCTTTGTCAGACAAATTTAACTTAATTTGGAAGCCTTATCAACACAGCCTGGCTTCATTCAGTTCCTCCACTGCCGTATGCTAAACTAACTAGCAGACACTGCGCAGAAAATTGACGTCGTTCAAAGCTCCTCCTTCTGTTCTCTGATTGGCCCAGGTAAAATAAACTACAAGCAGACACTGCGCAGAAAATTGACGTTCTGTTCTCTGATTGGCCCAGGTAAAATAAACTACAAGCAGACACTGCGCAGAAAATTGACGTTCTGTTCTCTGATTGGCCTGGCTAAAAATCTGCCAGCGAAATCCATCTCAATGGGAGAAGTCCCAGAYGGAGCAGTGAAGGGAAATTAGAATTGAGCGGAGCTGCGTAGGAAGGCAAGGGCCAGGCTAGTCCTTTTGGGACAAGCTCCTCCTCTGGGATGTGTCTTTAAGCCGAACTTCCTCATGGCAGAGCGCTCCCCCGCTCCGCGACTCCGGCAGGCTACGTGCTGAAATGGGCGTGACCGAAGTGGTTGGATTTTCTTAAAGAGACAGAGACCTATTTCAAGRCGTTTAGAAGCTGTCAAGATGAGAAGTAAATTGTTTTGGGGATTTTTACAAATTTATAACTCTTTCATAAGCTGAAAATGTGACATATTTACTTTATTTTAGTATAAAATTGAAATATAGGCTTGGAAAGCACATAATATTGCCCCTTTAAATCATAATGTTTATGACATTCAGCTGATTGGTAATTGATACTTGTTTTATGGCCTCACTTCAGTCCATTTTTTATTAATGTGTTATATTTCTAACCATCTGCTTCCTGTGGCTCTTTTATTGCCCCTGATGCAGGTAATACAGCTTCCTCTACAGCGTGCTATTACACTGAGCACCAACACTAACATCACCACTGCTTTCGCTGGTTTCTTCTCTTTAACTTTGGTAATTTTTTCCCTCTACTCATATCCCCCTCACTGTTATTAACCACTATGATTAAAAGGATGTAATTATTTCCCTCCTTTCCCATTCTAAGGTCAGTATTTTGTGTCGTTTGTGGTGTGCTCACSTAAACATGTGCGCTTCCGTTGCAGATCAACGTCATCAAAAAATCATCGCACCGACAAGAAAATCCGAAGAGGTGTTTTTCTCCGASACGTCATCCCAACCCTCTCCACGTCCCGCCGGGGCTTCCGTTTTCCTTTCCCCTGCCTCCTCCAGCAAGCTGAAACATTCTCRCAGCTGGAGCACCAAATCCCAGCAGGTCCAAGAGCCCCGCCGCAGCAGGGGCTTGGGTTCACTGGAGGAGAGTGATGAGTGGGCGGAAAAGAAGGCAGACAGGCTTTCTCCCATCTCCTACGATCAAACGAAGTTCCACAAGAGAGCCGCGTCCACAAAGGACTCCAGAGAGCTAAGCAGCCCAAAGAAAACAGGGGAGACATTTCCTAAACCCAAAGAGCAACTTCCCAGTCCCAAAATGATGGAGCATGAGGCACAGGGAGCAGCAGCGAGCAGGAGCAGGATGTCTCCAACAAGTAACTCAAACACACAAACCGTAAGACTGGACAAGGCTCACACTGGAGCACGAGTGGTTTCAACGATGCAGCGTGCAGGGCAACAACAAGGCCATCACAGGAGATTAAAGGATTCTTCCAGCAAAGACACCCACGGTACTGAACATRAAACCAGTGAAAGAGAAAACCGGGACATGCGAAGATACACAATAGGAAGTGGAGAAAGGCCCAACGTAGAGAAGGAAAGCTTTAAACGAAGGGTAGCGGGAGAGTCTCGTCCTCACGGGCTGTTGCCCGTAAAAGAGAGCGAAGGACGARGAAGCAGGGACTCAGAACACAGAGAGGTTAACGGAAACATCAAACCGGCAGAAAGCAAGAGAACGAGTAAAGGGAYAACTAACAAAAGGGATTCCTTATCATTTTTTAAAGACATTTGGAGTAGAAAAGATTCACCGACGGAGAGGAAAGAACAAAAGAGTAAATCATCCAACTCCAAAGAAGACTTTGTTGCCTCCACAAACAGTATYCCAGGGTCCTTCCAGAGCCCAAAAGGATCTCTTAGTCCTGGCCCTTGGAGAGTACCAAACTCTGCCAAAATCCTGACTGAAGACGAAATTTTCCGTAACCCTTTGTGACAGAACATTTAACCTCCTCGAGACGAACTGTGCCATGAAATATTTCACAACAGTGGATTCTTTTTCAGAGTTCTTCCATGAGACGGAGAAGTGCGACGTGTTGTCCCTTTCATACCTTTGGAACGTGGCCAGAATTTTTTCAACTGGGAGTTCTGTGAGATCACACGTGGCATGTAGCACTCCCCCTCTGCCTTTTTCCGCTGCTTCGGCCTTTTTCTTACAGGACTTCGGCACGTGCCCGGGGCCTTGTCAGACAAGACATTTTTAAAAATGTGAAAAAAATGTGCCAATCCTGGGAGTCTCCTGCGGAACATCAGCTACCAACAAGCGCTTCACTCATCACAATGCAACGACCCATATGCAAAGCAAAGAAAAAGGGCCCTGCCTCTGGTCTGTAGTACACACTCAGTGTGACGGTCATAGATTTTTCTTTTTTTATTTTAGCCTCAGCCTCATTCTTGAGTATTTAGACCCTCTTTTTCTTAAAGGTTTGCCCAGCTGCATGCACTTAATCCTTTCTGTTTTACTGCACGTGTTTCTGCACATCACCAAGGATAAACCACTCTCTTGTTTATTATTCTCATTCCAGACAGCAGGCAGATTTCAAATACAATTGAGCAAGTGTTTACTTTCACAGCTACTCTAGACTGTTCTATGGGCATATTCATGACTCTCCTTCATACAAACAGTTTCATTAAAAAGACCAGAAACTTGTGGTTTGATATTTTGTTTACCATGTGTATAATAAGAAACCAGTGTGTAATTTATTGAGGTGATAGATGAAAAATACTGTATATGTAGCTGTACCGAACCATTCCTCATTTTGATATAGACTTTTAAAAAGAAATGCCCCGTGTTTTTAAAGCTTTCATCCTAATCCCAATGTATTTCAGTGCTAGGAATTACCATGGATCTTTCACAGTAGTTCATGAAACGTATAAGTGTTACATTCAAACTGCTGTGCCAAATGTCTGCGATTGCTCAAAATGTCTCATCGTGAAATATGATATATAGAAATATATATGTACATATATATATATATATTTGAATGTGTCATAATTTCCAGAGGATAACTACTGAATTTTATTGCACTGCATCAGCCCTTGTAGCATAATAGAACAAGTCGTATTTAATTTGTGAAGTTTACWTAACTCATTGTTATTTACAACGTACTGGTAATATAAAGAATTTACGAAAAGATATTTAAGATTTGCTAAAGGGTTCACGGCTAAAATGCAAAATGAATAGAGAAAAAAAATCTTTAGGTTACACTGTGTGTATCTGTCCATCCTGCTGTGTGACTGTGCGCTAAAKGCTAGCATGAAGGATGATAGAGGCCAGAGTTGTGTGGAGTTTTGCAGAAATATTGTCAGTGCTGTTACTGATGTAGGGCTGGTGTTTCAGAGATAATCCRGTCATCTCTGAAGTGATGTTCTGTCCACTAGTTTTCAACCCATCGTAATGTCTGCTGTAAAGCAAGGAGGACATTATTATGACCCCCGCATGTGAAGCAGGGGTCACTGTTTATTTTTTGTTTATTTTTTTTCCAAGATTTTTTGGTCAACCATAGCACATAAAAGGCTGCACCGATCAACTTGAAATTAGGTAGGAATGTTGATATGACTGACCTACACTGAGCCAGCCAACAATTTTACGATAGACCCCATATTTGAGGAGGGGGCTCCATCTAAAAATTGGGTGTCTGGACATCAAATATGTTTATAACTCAAAAACTCTTCAACATAGGAGATTCAGATTTTTTATTTTTTCCAGCTCTGATGAAGKGCTATCCATCAGGCCCACCAATGACACCCCCACCCTATCTGAAAAGGGGGTGTCTGGACTAACAAAATTACTCAGAACTCAAAAAGTATTCAACATAGGAGCTTCAGATCTTTTTTTTTTTAGCTCTGATAAAGGGCTGTCCATCTGGCTCACCTCACCAATGACCCCCCCCACCCCTGACCCCCACACCACCTGAAAAGGAGGTGTCTGGACTAACAAAATTACTTAGAACTCAAAAAGTATTCAACGTAGGAGCTTCAGATTTTTTTATTTTATTTTATTTTTTAAGCTCTGATTGAGGGCTGTTCATCTGGCTCACCAATAAGCCCCCCCCCCCCACACACACACACACACCCCACCTTGAAAGGGGGTGTCTGGACTAACAAAACTGCTTATAACTCAAACACTGTTCAACATAGGAGCTTCAGATTGTTTTTTTTTTTATTTTTTTAGCTCTGATGAAGTGCTATCCATCGGGCCCACCAATGAGTCCCCCAGGACCCCCACCCCACCTGAAAAGGGGGTGGCTGGACTAACAAAATAGCGTATACAGTACTTCAAACACTATTCAACATAGGCGCTTCAGATGTTTTTTTTTTTTTTTTTTTTTTGGGGGTGGGGGGTGTGGTTGCTCTGATGAAGGGCTATCCATCAAGCCTACCAATGCAATGCGGTGATTAGTTATTATTTTTATTATTATTATTCATGTTCATAAATCAACCCTTTCTCAAAAACAGCATTCAGGTGYGGGAGTTGAGTAAACATTTGGCTGATCGAAGGCACTGATTATGAGGATGAAAACATTTATCAGCCTCAGCACCTTCAGCGTGATGCCCACCGTCTGAGCTCGACAGACATTCACACAGTGCACAAATATTCAGCTGTGAAAACAGCAACAAGCTAAATTAACAGTTTCCTGTAAATGTGTACAGTAAACATTAGGTGATGTAGCATACTTTTACMACAAAATGTCACTTTTTAAAAAGATTTAACCTGAAAAATGATAATATACTGGCAATATTTCTCCATGCTTTWTGATTAATGTCACGGCAGATAAGGTCCTAACTCTAACTAATCAACAGAATATCACTTCAAAGATAACAGACTATCCTTTCCAAAACAAACACTTTACATATTACAGGGTAGTACAGCAGATAGCAATATGATCGTTTGTTCCAAAAGTACTATAAGTGTTAAATTGGAAAATAAAAGGTAGGGATGAAAACAAACATGCTAATACAGTTAAAGGAATACTCAGATGAGCTCAGGGAACACAGTATCTGTAGCAAATATGTGATAAAGTTATTATTAATGACAGCCAAATGTTTGGTGAAAGTTTGTGATTGTAAAAAGCTGTTTTTACTTTACAAGTCTGTRTGGTAATAAACCAATCAGAGCTCAGTTTTTTTTTCTTTTTTTTGTGCAATAGCTTGGTGGGTATGATAAAGTAAATCTAACTTGTGCTCTGGCCTCAAATAGGATGTTTGTTTGTTCATTTACCTGTATCTCCCCTCCTCTGTTTTACCTAAGCTTCTGCTTTGAGCATTTTATATCTCATCTTTGCATCATACTGTGGCCTTGCATAGYTTCATTAGAAAACAAATAATCCTTGTGATATCTTCAGCATCCTGTCTGAACATTAGATGTAAATGTTTGTACATTGTACAGCACCTTTATAAATACTCGACGAGTGCTCTTTTGGGGAGAAGAAAAAAAATAGAGGTATATTAAATTGCTCTATTATTTTTTTATGTAAAAAAAAAGAGAAACATATTTAAAAAGGATTATTAAAAAGGGTTGACATAGTATTCTGTTCATGCACTTAAAATAAAAATTT